TAACCTCGTGTTGGTGCCACATTGATGAATGTCTAAGGAAAATGGCCTTTCCAAAGGCACTACAGGAAAATGTTTACCAGGCCACTCAGGGCCTTGCTAATGCCAGGAAGTCACCTGTGTAACATCTGCAGTAAAAATAAAAATGTCATTTTAAAGCCCTTCTAATAAAGACCAAGAAATCACTCCCATTTATTATCAGCCAGGGACCTGCTGAAAAATGGCCAGGAGATCAAAGCGGGAGTGGGGGCAGGGAGGAGCCTTGGCTGTCACCTGCTCTGTTAGCTTGCTCATCTTAGCACCACCAAATGCAGTCAGCTTTTCTGTGTTTGCCCACCTTGATAAAAAGCTCGCTATTATAAGTTCCCTACTGAATAGTTTACCCCAATTTAATACCTTTAAATTTTACACCAACTGTTAACACTGTGTAAAGCATTTTGAACAACTAAAAGATAAGGGCTCTTTCATGTCCGTAAAGGAAACCTGGTCTCTTAGCATAGAGAAATTTACATCTCCCTCAAGAGAAGTGCTCAGAGTACACTGGCCTCCTGCCTAGCTCAGCATGGCCCAGGGAACTTTCTGGAACATGGTAGATACATTCTTTATCCACTGACTTGGCTGCTAAGCACCTGAAATATGGTTATGTGAGACAGAGGAGATGAATCTTTTATTTCATTTTGCTGCATTAAAATTTTAAGCGTGAACAGTCACCCATAGCCTGGACTCCTGTACTAGATGGGGCAGCTAGAAGAACCGGGAGAAGTACAGACTCTGACGTGTTCTCCCTTTAACCTGGGCCTCGCTAGCGAGCTCGCAGCTGTCCAGAAGCTGTCTCGCAGCTGTTTGGCAGACGTGAGACAGAAACTCCTCTACTTCTTTTCTACTCTTCCTTGAGCTAATTAAGGAGGGTATCTGAGGCCACCATCCTCAAGAAAACGCCATCTGGGGCGCCTGGGTGGCTCAGTCGTTGAGCGTCTGCCTTCGGCTCAGGTCATGATCCCGGGGTCCTGGGATCAAGCCCCACATTGGGCTCCCTGCTCAGCAGGGAGCCTGCTTCTCCCTCTCCCACTCCCCCTGCTTGTGTTCCTGCTCTCGCTATCTCTGTCTCTGTCAAATAAATAAATAAAATCTTAAAAAAAAAAAACAAAAAAACCGCCATCTGTCCCAGTGAAGGGGCCAAGGCTGCTGATGGCAGAACACTCAGCTCAGTGCCCCTGGCAGCAGGACTTCCTGTCAAGGAACCTTCGCCCACACAACAGAAACAGGCAGGCCAAGCCCACGGTGCCACAGATGAGAACTGCTGGTGTGTCCGGCCTCTACCAAAATGACTTAGCCAGCACAAAGGGCAAGTAGCACTTCTAAATAAAACTGCCAGACTCCCGAGGCAAAGAGAACAAGCCAGGACATTAAGTATAGTTAGGGGAACCAACAGAAGAGCAGGAGGCAAGCCCTACAAATGTGCAATGATGAAAAGAAACGCTGACTACCACTTTTTACTCTCTCACACACCTTTCCCGTGGCGGGGGCGGGGCGGAGAAGATCTGAAGATTTAGTGAAAGCTAAACACAAACTAAGAAGAATAGGAATAAAGGGTCCACCCACGTTCACAGCAGCACTATCCACAGTAGCTAAAGCATGGAAGCCACCCAAATGTCCACTGACAGATGCCTACGATGTGGTGCCCCTATGCAATGGGATGCCATTCGACCTTCAAGAGGAAGGACATTCTGACACAGGCTGCCACATAGGGAGACCTGGGGGACAGCATGCTGAGGGACAGGAGATGGACACAAAAGACAAACACTGTAGACTCCAATTGTGTTAGGTCCCTAGAATGGTCAGATTCTTAAACAGGAAACAGAATGGTGGATGCCAGGGGCTAGGAGAGAGGGGAAGGTGAATTAGTGTTTAACGGGGAGAATTTCAGATTTGCCAGATGAAAAAAATTCTGGAAATGGATGGTGGTGATGGCTGCACAGCATTACGAATGTATTTAATACCACTGAACTGTACACTTAAAAATGGTCAAGGTGATAAATTTTATGTGTATGTTACACAATGAAAAAAAACTGGAGGGGCGACTCGCTGGCTCACTTAGTGGAGCTTGCAGCTCTTGACCTCAGGGTCCTGAGTTTGAGCCCCACATTGGGTGTGGAGCCTACTTAAAATTAAAAGAAAAAATTGGAAAGAAATCAAAATTTAAGGGGCACCTGGGTGGCTCAGTCCGTTAAGAGTCTGCTTTCAGGCCAGGTCATGATCCCAGAGCCCTGGGATCGAGTCCCACATTGGGCTCCCTGCTCAGTGGGGAGTCTCTCACTCTCCCTCTGCACCCCCCGCACTTGTGCTAATAAATAAATAAAATCTTAAAATAAATAAAATAAATAAATACATAAACATTTAAACATAAACAGCCATATTTGTGCTTTGGCCCTCCCCCCAAGCTGCTGTTCATCCCACTGGCCAGTCTGTGGTCCTGGCTGTGGGATGGAAATGCCCCTTGAGGCACTGGCTCCCGGCCCAGTTGGTACCTCCCCGAAACCGCTATCACCCCTTCCTATGACACATGGGGAGGGGCTCAGCTCCCTGAAGAAGCCTGCCTGAGGCACGTGCGGGTTGGGCCAATGGTGAGAAGCACAGGCCTGGGCTGGAACCTGCTGTGTGGCCAGGTAAGTCAAGATCCACATGCTTCAACTCAGGTGCATTCAGCAAGGCAAGATTCACTGGGCAGCTGGCTGAGATGCCCCTGAATGCCCAAGAGGTGCCCCTGAATGCCCAAGGGGTGCCCCCCCGGCAGTGGGGAGGCTGCAGTGCTCACCTGCAGGCATACTCCACTGTGTAAATGGCTCCCTGGCTCTGCTCTTCCCACCGCTGCATATCGGCCTGTGGGGGATAGGAAGCTGTTATCAAGGGGGCTGCCACCTCCACCCTCCTAGTTCTCTGGGACGGAGCACCTGATCACCCATCACTGTGGCCACAGAGACCAGCCACCTCCATTCTGATCTTCCCTCCTACAGATCCCCTCCCCCACCAGTCTGGGCTTTCTCTGAACACCTGGCTACCGTGCTTCAGAGCTTCTGCATTGGCTGTTCCCTCTGCCTGGGTCCACACGCAGCTGCCTCCTTCTCACTACACAGGTCACAACAAATGCACATCCTGCGTCCCCTTCTCCCAAGGCTGTCCACCCATGGCCCCAACCTGTCTCAGTCACCTTGTGCCTCCTTGCTGGGGTCCCAGCTTTGACTCCTCCCCCAACAGCCCCAGCTCCACATAGCAGGTCCTGGCTCATGACGTGAGGACTCTGGGGGAGGGCAGGGGAAAGAGCAAGTGGAGCTCACCTTATGCTGGGCCAGCTCGGGCAGAGAGCGGCGCACATGTTCCTGCAGCCGGTATAGGGCCACGGATGGCTCGTTGGCAAGGACATAGACGCTCTCAGTGAACTTGTCTGTGACTGGATTGAGAATCAACAGTTGGGGGTAGGGGTTGGGGGGGGATGGCAGAACAAGGGGAGGGGCAGCAGAGACACAGGGACAAAGCATAAGACTCTTGACCGCTTAATCCATGAGTCCAGCTAGGCAGTGAGGACTGCCCGGTGTCCCACCCAGGAGCTAGGTCACCTGTGGCCCCGGTGATAGGTGGAAGGAGATGGTCACAGAAAAGGCCTCACTTATCATGATGTTAACACATCCAGTGGGGCGCCTGGGTGGCTCAGTTGGTTAAGCAACTGCCTTCGGCTCAGGTCATGATCCCGGAGTCCCGGGATCGAGTCCCGCATTGGGCTCCCTGCTCAGCGGGGAGTCTGCTTCTCCCTCTGACCCTCTTCCCTCTCGTGCTATCTCTCATTCTCTCTCTCTCAAATAAATAAAATCTTTAAAAAAAAAACACACATCCAGTGGACTCATGACCTTTCCCCTCCCAAGCCCACCTGTAGTAGACACTGCTTCCGTCCACTTGGACCCTTTCACATTCCTTTTATTCCAAGGAATGAATCTGAGATTCTTCTTCAAAGGGTCCCACCAGTTACTGGACCTGAAAATGCCTGGAAGCTCAGATCCCTGGATGGCCTTCAGCCATGACTGACCATCAAAGGGTATTAAATCATGTCCCATGCCTTTTGTTGGGACAATGTGGAGGTATAACTCATCCTTCTGAGTTCTCCTGAAGGATCAGACGGAGAATTTTACCTGACCGCACTCCTTGCTCAGCTTCCTCCCTCTCCTGTTTCTCTCTCTTCCCTCATCCATTCTTACCACTACCCTGCCCCCACTGGTCTGGGTGTGGCCACCTCCCACCAGAATACCAAGTTCAGCCAGCTCCTCCCTGGTCTCCCTGCTTCCCCTCTGCCAACAGTCCAATCTCCACACAACAGATGAAGTGAGCTCCTAATGAACCTATCAGATATGTCCCTCCCTTGTCTGAAATCCTCCCATGGCTCCCATCGACCACAGCATAAAATCATCTAACTTACTATGGCCCATAAGGCTCTACATTCTGCCTGCTGTTGACCTCCCTGCCCTCCTCACCCTCCACCCAAGGCACAATGACCTCCCGGCTCTTCCTTGAACACCCTAGTACTGTCCAAAAGAACTTTCTGAGATTATAGAAAGGTTCTATAATCTATAGTATCCAATAACATAGGCACTAGGCACATATGGCCACTGAGCACTTGAAATGTGGCTAATATGACTCACAAACTGAATTTTCTTATTTTTTTTAAATCTTAATTCCAGTATAGTTCACACACATTGTTACATTAGTTTCAGGTGTACTAATGTAGTGACTCAACAATTCTACACATTACTCGGTGCTCACTGTATGAATTTTAAATTTTACCTAATTTTAATTAAATTAAATACCCACAAATATCGTGACCAGGAGCTGCGGTATTGCTGCACAGCTCTGAACACTTTGCCACCTCAGTGCCTTTGCACCTGTTGTTCTGCCACTGGCTCCCCCTTCCCTCACTGGCTTCTTTTCATCCCCCCTGTCTCAACTCAAATGTTACCTCCCGGGCAAGGCCTTCCCTGATCACCAAGCTTAATCAGATGTCCCTTCCACCTCATTCTCAACCTTCAGCCCCTTGTTCATTTCTCTTACACTTTATTAGTTACATGTGTAAAAAAAAAAAAAAAAAAGCTTGGATTCTTGAGGGCAGGAGATTCTCTGAGCCTCAGTTTCCTCATCTGTAAAAACAGAGTGATAATAGCACCCCCTCAAGGTTTGTTACAGGGATGGACCCCATGCTATTGCCCAGTACAGTACAGTGGACAAGAGAGAGAACACTGGTGTGTCGGGGATTCAAAGGAGGCTGTGCATGAGTCTCGCCAGTGTCAGTCTGTCTAGCTCACTACTGCGCCCTCAGTGGGGCAGAGCCCATCCTGCAACCTCTAAACTGTATGTACTCTAATCCTCCTAGTCCTCCTCATTTTGAAAACGTGCATAACAGCTTACCCTTCAGTGTTGTTGCAAGAAGGTGGAATGAAATGTACTTGTGCCTTCTAAATAATCGACTAGAAATAACGTGTGTGACAAAATAAAAACCTTTACGACTTAAAAATAGTTTGTGGCAGGGGCGCCTGGGTGGCTCAGTCGTTAAAGAGTCTGCCTTCGGCTCAGGTCATGACCCCGCGGTCCTGGGATCAAGCCCCGCATCGGGCTCCCTGCTCGGCGGGAAGCCTGCTTCTCCCTCCCACTCCCCCTGCTTATGTGTCCTCTCTCACTGTGTCTCTGTCAAATAAATAAGTAAAATCTTTAAAAAAAAAATAGTTTGTGGTATTTTGTAATTTGTAAACACGTTGACTCACAAGTATTTTAACGTAAACCCAGTCAAATGCGTAAACATATTAGGGAATAATACGCACAGCGACTGCCAAGTCCCAGGCGTTCCTCTAATGCATTACAAACATCAGGTCATTGATTGAATTCTCACAACAAACCTATGTGGGGCCGGGAGAGACTACCATACACCCCATTTTACAGATGACAAAACCGAGGCACGGAGACTTTCTAAAGGTTTTAAAACTAGTCAACGGACGAGCCAGGATTCAATGGTAGTTCAATTAGTTTCCCCGCATGCTCCCTCCAAGCCTTTGTCCCCTCCTGCCCTGTCGGGTCACCCTTCCGCCCAGCCCGAAGCTCTGCACCACCTTTCTTTCCCTTGAGTTGCATCTCCGGTTCCTCCATAGCTACCGCGGGCCGATCCGAAGACCGGAAGCAGAAGTTCGGCTGTGGGGAATGCTACCTAAACCTCCCCCTGTGAAACCAGACGCTGCGCCACTCTAGTTCCGGTGTCAATTGGCCTTCCTTCCCCAGTCCTTTCTGAATACCCAAACCGGAGAGAAGCCGTGAGTGAGAGACTGGGGAAGGAGGCACACCGGTAGGCGGGTGAGGAAGGGGCGGAGAATCCCTGAAGCTCCAGAAGGGACACCTAGTCAGGGAGGGGCAAGGGCGCCCTCCCTTCCCGAACTCCCTTTTCCGGGGGTAGAAGAATTGGGGAAATGGTTCCAAACATTGCCCACTTCGGGCTGCTTTAAACGGCCTTTCTGTACCCTCCTGCTGCCATCAGATCCTTACACATGCTCATAAGGCTCCAGGGCCGCAAAGAGGGCATTGTTGTGGAAGGGTGCAACGGCAGTGGCACCCCTTTAAATCCCTGACGCCCCGACTGCTCCCCGCCCACCGCCTTCCGACTGGAGAAAGTCCCACCCATCCGGCCTCAACGGGAGCCTAGCGGCACCCTCTGGAAAAACCTGTGGGCGGAGCTGGGGCGGGAGTGACGGAAGACAGGCGCAATGAAATCCTCAGAATCCTCTGAGGCTCCACCCATCCCTTCTGACCCGGCCGGGCTCCCTCCGGAGATGCCGGGGAAAGAGTGCGCAAGCGCAACAGCCTGCTTGGGGCCCCAGCGGAAACCACGCCCCTCCCTCAAGTCTTAAAGGGCCAGAAGCAGCTTCTACAGCTCTCGCCTTAAGGCACTTTTGGGGAGGGAGGGTGCGCAGGCGCAGTGGGAGAGCTCTGGGGTGGGGGTAGCGGTCGCGTATCAAGTTGCTCTCTGTCCCGGCAGAAGAAACCAGGACGCTGAGGGTCCAGATTCTAGCTTGCTCCCTCCTGTATCAGTTGAAGGAGAAAAGTTTGTGAATTGGGCCCCCAAGTTTTGGGGGACCCGGGCTTGCGGCGTGGGGTGACAGAGGAGGCTCTTTAGAGGTGAGTGGACCTCCTGGATCTGTTTGGGAGGGACCGATAGGGATGGGACCAATCACATCTTTGTTGAGCACTCACTCATTCTGGGGACCCCCCCAAAGAATAACCCCCAGAGAACGTTTATTAAGCTCTGCCCGTATATAAGGCCCCCAGCTTAGCTGTTTACAAGCGTGATTTTAGACCTCACTTCCCTATTTTATTAATGAGTAAACTGAGGCTCAGAGAAGTTAAGTCATGTGCCCAAGTTCTCCGCCTATAATTGGAGGGATTTGAACCCAGGTAGTTGACCCCATTTTAAGTAAAGCATGTTGTATGGGTCCTGGTGAGGGGGGTGGAGGAGTGGGCCTGAAAAGCAGATGGACTCTGGTCTTTACTTCCCAGCTGAGCTAGAGTTTAGCCACCCTCACTGTGCAAAGTTGGGTATGCCGTTGGTGCCTACTTAATAGGAGTTGTTGAGAATTATTCTCTCTCCCCTTTTGGTGCTTCCACCAGCTTCCCTCATGGAGCCCACCCAGCCTGCAGAGGACCTCAGTGTGACCCAGCAGCTCCCCATCCCAGAATTTGGGGACCCTGAAGACCCTGGGGATGAGGCCCCCGATGGCTCAGATACTGTGGTGCTCAGTCTTTTCCCCTGCACCCTGGAGCCTGGGAATCCTGAACCGGATGCTGGTGCCTCCTCACCTCAGGGTAGGTAGGATGTTTCCCCTGGACTCCTGCGTCTGGGATGCAAGGACAATGGAACGTCAGGCCCAAGATAGGACCTCTGTCTTTATGTTCCACTACCTGGGCTGTGTCTTCTCTCTCACCCAGTGAGAGATTACTTTTATACATGCACACACACATACACACGTATGTATAGATGATGGCTAAATCCACATGACATAAAAGTTACTATTTTAAGCAGACTTGCATACAGTTCAATGGCAGTAAGTACATTCATGATGTGTGTAACCCCCACCTCTATTATTCCAGACCATTTCCATCACCCCAAAAGGAAACCCCATCCCCATTAGTAGTCACTCTCCATCCCTCCTCCCCTGCCTCCGTCAACAGTAATCTACTTTCTGTCTCTATGGATTTGCTTGTCCTAGACGTTTCATATAAATGAATCATACAACATGTCTTTTGTGTCTGGCTTCTTTTGCTCAGCATGATGGTTTTTTGTTTTAAGTTTTATTTATTTAATCTCTACATCCCACCTGCGGCTTGAACCCATGAGCCCGAGATCAAGAGTCACATGCTCCTCTGACCAAGCCAGCCAGGAGCCCCTCAGCGTGGTGTTTTTGAGGTTCATTCGCATTACAGCATGTGTCAGTGCTTCTTTTTGTGACCTGATAATAGTCCATTCCAGACGACATTTTGCTTAGCCCTTCATCCACTGATGGACACTAGGGTTGTTCCTCTTTTGGCAATCATGATTAGCATTGCTGTACACATTGGTTTACAAGTTTTTGTCCGAGCAGTTGATTTCAGCTCTTTGGGGTAGATACCTAGGAGTGGAATTGCTAGGTCAGATGGTGATTCTGTTGACCCTATTAAGGACCCAAGGATTTCTTTTGGCTAGAGTCCTTGAACACGTCGAATTCAGTACCTCCTGGGGCCTTGGTCCCTGCTGTTCCCTCTGGGCGGAAAGTTCTTCTCACACCTCTTCCCAGGGCTGGTTTTCTTCAACTGACCAAGCTCAGTTGCTGTTCTCTCCTCAGAGTGGCCCTCCCCGACCACCTTGTCTAAAATGGACTCACCCCCTGCCCTCCCCTCTTTCTTCTCTCTTCTACCTGCTTTTTGTAGCTCCTGAACACTTATTTCTCTATTTCTGTCTGACCCCCCCCCCCTTTTGAAGGCAGGGACTATGTCTCATTTGCCCAGAATGTCACCAGGTATAGAGGAGAAAGGCTCACCAGGAGGGCAGAGTGAGTGAACGGTGGAGTGAGGCACTGTCTTTGGTAGCTTCAGGCCCCCAAGGACTTGTCTGAAGCCCCAGAAACATACTGAGAGGAAACTGAGGCCGTTCCTTTCTCTTCCAGGAGGCAGCTCCCTGAAGCACTCAACAACCCTCACCAACCGGCAGCGGGGGAACGAGGTTTCGGCCCTGCCAGCCACCCTGGACTGTAAGTGGGCCTCTGGTTACCCACCCCACCCCCCCTGGCCTCCCTAAGTAGTAGGGAAGGGGCAGTAGGAGTGGCAGGGGCTGAGAGGAGCAACTTTGGATGGGGTAAATTGAGGCACGGAGCCAAGACGGGACGGGTGAGGACTCTGGCTCTCTCTGGCCCCTAGCCCTGTCCATCCACCAGCTTGCGGCCCAAGGGGAGCTGAGCCAGCTGAAGGAACATCTGAGGAAAGGTGTGTGTCCACACGAGTACGCTGGTGTATCCATACCTGTCTGACCACACATGTTGGGGTATGCATGTGGGTCCTGAAATGACCTGAGGCTCCACGTATGTTCACCTCTCTACACGTTTGAGCATGTCCACACACGTAACCCCCCTGCCCAAGTCTGACCCCAACCGCCCGCCCTGTCCCTGCTCCCGCAAGCACTGGGGAGAGTGGGCAGGGGTGCATCCCAGTGGTACCACCCCCCTCCTGCCAGGCGACAACCTCATCAACAAGCCGGACGAGCATGGCTTCACCCCCCTCATCTGGGCCTCCGCCTTCGGAGAAATCGAGACTGTCCGCTTCTTGCTCGAGTGGGTGCGTCCAGCCCAGCTCAGGGCTTCCCAGGGACTTGAGGGCGGGCTGGGGTCTGAGTCAGCTGGTGCCATGTCTGTAAGATGGGGCCCAGGATTCCAGGGGATGCCCCCACCCATCCCATCACCACTCCCTCTGCTCCCCACCCCCCACCCCACTGCAGGGTGCTGACCCCCACATCCTGGCCAAGGAGCGGGAAAGTGCCCTGTCACTGGCCAGCATGGGCGGCTACACAGACATCGTGGGGCTGCTGCTCGAGCGTGACGTGGACATCAACATCTACGACTGGGTGAGGCACCAGCCACTGGCCCTGCGCACCTCGCAGGGTACCAGGCCTGTTACAGGTGCTGAGAACACAAGACAGACCCATCCCTGACCTCGCAGAGCTCCTAGTTTAGGGGGGAGGAAGAGGAAGACGATACATAAGCAGTCAGCTGAAATGTGAATACCGCTGTGATAGCAGACACACAGGCAACTGCAAGGGCCTGGAAGTGGCTTACATAGCCAAGGGAAGTCAAGGAGGCCTTCCTGAGAGAAGGGGTATCTAAGCTGAGACCCAAAGGAGGAATTAGACCAGGTGATGAGTAGGAGGAGGAACCACATTAAATTAGAGGGTTGGGGGTGTTGTGAGAATCTGGAAAAGACAGAATGTTGGTTGCTCTTGCCCCTGCCCTTAACAGAATGGAGGGACACCACTGCTGTATGCTGTGCGTGGGAACCATGTGAAGTGCGTAGAAGCCTTGTTGGGTAAGTGGGAGTAGCAGCTGGCCCCCCAGGAATCCTGAGGGCCAGGGAGGGGTCCAAGCTCTGCTTGAACAGCTCTTGGGATGCGTGGTCACTATCTGCTTTTCCCAGAGGACTGATTTGGGGACAGGAGATGGTGTGATAGTACAGGGGTCTAGCTAACTGGGTTGAACACCCACACCCTCCATGCCTCAGGGACCCTGGAGATGGGGATTCTATTGGCCACATTCTTTGGAGAGCTCAGGTTCTCATCCAGGCCCACACGGGCAACCAGCAGGCCTGTGGCTGTACTGTGAGGGATCACTGGACTTCCCAAATCGCCATGCCCCATTCTGGGCTCCCAGTCCCCTACCCCCACCCCCACCCCCCTGTACACCTGCTTTGCTTTGCAGCCCGAGGAGCTGATCTCACCACGGAGGCTGACTCTGGCTATACCCCAATGGATCTTGCCGTGGCCCTAGGATATCGGAAAGGTCAGCCTGAGACATGGGGCAGTGACAGTGTGCTGTAGGTAGGGTGACTGCAGAGGGGTACACAGGACATCCCTCTTGGATGTGTCAGATGCCAGCAGTGAGAGCATTCATGTTAGCAAACATCTAGTGCCACAGTGTACCTGGCCTGGGCACGTGCAGGAGGCTGATGTGGGTCAGCGACTGGGTTCATGATGGGATACACACAGGCACTGGGAGGCCCAAAGGAAGCTCTGGCCCAGCCCCATGATAGGTGGGAGTCAGGGAGGGCTTCCTGGAGGCCCAAGGGGAGGGAGGGAGGATGGTGTCCAGGCTGGAGGAACAGTACACACACACAGGCCTGGCAGAATGAGGATGCCAAGGAGCTACAGCGCACAGGCTCACTGAGGCTAGCCCTCTCTGTGGCAGGAGGTAGGTGTGAGTAGGGACCATAGGCAGACCCCAGTTTTGATTCTCCATTTCCCCCTTCAGCTTCCCCATCTAGAAAATGGAGAGATACTAATAGAACCAAACCCTTGGGGTCACGGAGGGATTCCTTTGAGTTTTATCCCACTTGGGACAGAAATCATTCCTCAAGGCCCCTCTCATCCTTTAATAAAAGTCACAAGTCACCAATTTTGTTTGATAAAGATTGTTTTTATGACTCTAAAAAGCCTCCAAAAGTACATTTTTACAAACCATGGGGAAGTTGAGTTTCCTGGCTTGGGTGCCTCAGTCTTCCCAGCTGTACTCTGGGGAGAGTGTGGATTTCCCCATGTATGATGTAGGTCCTCCATCCATGTCCCAGGGCTTGGAGATCCCTCTCTGCCCCCTAGAGGCAGGGTGCAGTTCTCATGGTGGGATACCCCAGCTCATCCCCCAGGAAAGTGTACAATTTGGCCGTTGCCCCTGCAGCCTCCATTGGATTCATGGCCCACCTTTCCCCTGTCCTGTTTCCAGTGCAACAGGTGATCGAGAACCACATCCTCAAACTCTTCCAGAGCAACCTGGTGCCCGCAGATCCTGAGTGAAGACTGCCTGCTGGGACTCAGATACTCAGGGAACAAAACAGTTGACCTAGAACTAGCTTCAAAGGCAGCTCCTGGACAGACAGTGGGAGGGGATCCTTCCCAAGAGGAACCAATAAACCTTGTGTGTGCATAACTTGAAGGACTTCACTGTGCTTCCCCAAGGGTCTCCTGGAGGAGTCAGCTACCCAGTGGCCTCACACCCTCTCCCCTAGCACTCGCAGGTGGTAGATGACTACTCGGCCAAAAAAGTCAGTGGCGTCCTCAAGTGTCATCTTCAGCTGGTCCACCTCGGCAGCGGGCACAGGGAAGGTGTGAGCACAGGCAGTCAAGAGAAACAGGTAGCTCATCATTTCCCATCCACCAGCCCCAGCTCAGACACCACCAGTATGCTGCGTGACCCAGCACACTGTGAGCCCCTCTGAAGCTCTCACATAGAACAGGTTACCATCAGCGCATTTTACAGATGAAACAATGGAGGCCCAGAGCCACTTGCTCAAGGTCACACACCAGGATCCACAGCCTTCAGAGGCACAGACCACCCCCCCACCCCTCCACCCCAGAGGCCCAGGCAGGATATCTGAAGGGAGTTGTTGTCCTCAGGGTAGAAGTCCACAATCTTGCAAAGAGCCTCACTCCCCTGGGAACCTGCAGCAGGAAAAGGGGCAGGCTGTGAGGCTGAGGTTCCCCTCTCAAACCCCCACCTTCCAAAGCCTTCCAGTACCTTCCAGGTGGCCCCGGCGACTGGAGAAGCCCCCCTGAAACTGGATCTGCAGCTGGGAGACACGGATGCGCTGGGGAAATTCTAGTATCACCCACTGGGAGGGGCCCTGGAAACAGACAGGGAAACTGAGGCTCACAATCACTTGCTCAAGAGCCCTGCTATACCGGTCTCATTCACACAGTCGATGGTGGTGGGAGAGGGGGCCGTTCACACACGTTCCTCCGTGGCCAACTTGACTCCCCAGCTGGAGTTCTCCTTAGCTCTCAAGGCACCCTGGACCCCTGAATCTGATTCACGGGAGGGGGTAGAGGATCCAGGGAGAGGTGCCTCACCTGGTCCGAGTTCCAGCATGTCTCCTCATTCTGGTCGAACAGATGCTTCTTTCCAAACTGCCGGGTGTTGCGATTCAGCACTGAACTCACCCTGGAGGCACCAGAATCCCGGAGAAAAGAGGGGCTGAACCCAGCGCCGAGGGCCCGCCCACCAGAGGGCCCGCCCCCCCCCTCACCTCCAGCTTCCCCCGGCACCCCCAGCTCTGTCAACCCGGGGCTCAAGGGCCACGCCCGCCGCTTCCCGGCGGCCAGGTTCTCACCTGCTCACTGTCTCTGGACAAACCAAAGAGTGAGTCATTTCGGCTCCACAAAGCCTCACACGGCTCAGAGCTGACTTCGGCCGGTGTTCGAAACCCGGCGCCAACGAAGCCGCAGCGGCGCGAACTCGACCACGCCTGAGTCTGCAAGGGTTTCAAAGAAATTGCCAGTGACCCGAGGCCAGACTTTAACAGCGGGTCCAAAGAAGGGAAACAGGTTTCCTGTGGGTTTGCTCAGGCTCCGAACCTCAGTCCCTCTACGAACAGCTCGGAGAACCAAAGCGAGACCCGGAACCACGAGGACACCGCGCAGGCGCAATGTCACTCAGACCCGCCCAGCCTGCGCTCTCGGGGCAGGATGTAATTTGAGCCCCGCCCTTCCGTGCCCGCCTCTTAAAGGGCCTTCATCCGGTGATTAAGTTTCCATCGGAGCTGGAGGTCGAAGGCAGGCGCCAAAAACATTGTGTGCCGAGGGGGGGGGGGGGGCGGGCAGTGGGTATAGAGCACTGATTTTGGAGTCTGAGAGACTTCCTATAATGATGTCTCCCTACCTGGGGAAGTCTGCCAAATCCATTCTGTAAATGCTAATGCTGCCTCGCACTTCACTGCCTCCCAGGGACCAAAGGAAGAGCCGAAGAAGAGGCCACGATATTGCCTGTACAGCGAGTCTTCATCAACCTCCCGTGTCCCAGCTGGAACACAGGAGGTTTAGCCTCCAAATCTTTCTTCCTAGTAAATGCTGCCTGGGACAGGCTTCATGGATCAAGATCCTGCTGAGCCCGAAGATGTTTGAGAAAGGGCAGGACACCATCCCATCTGCATGAATGGAGGGTTCTGAAACTGATCAGCCACTGGCAGGAGGCTGCAGTTTCCTGGCTTTAGCTGAATGGTCTAGAATCCAGCCCCTTTCTTCAAGGGCTAGGGGAATCTTTCTCTTGGCATCCTACTAGCATCGTCCCAAGCCCACTCCAGGATGGCGGGGGCGGGGGGGGGGGCTGGCTGGGAAACTGGGACACTAACGGAAGGGCCGCCCCATCAGCCCCTGCCTGCCAGGACTTCCTGCATTCAGTCATGGCCTGGTGCCATCTAGACCTAGCTCTGTTGGTCTCAGGGCTGGGGCCAGGACTGTGGGTGGCAGAAAAGACCTCTCTATTCCCAGAGGAAAGTGGGAAGAGCATGGACCCTGGAGGGCCCAGATTTGGTTCAAATCCTGGGTGGGTCACTCACTCACTGACCTGGGATCTTGGACAAGCATGTTGACCTCTCTGAGCCTCAGTTTCCTCATCTGTGAAATGGAGGGAATTCTATTTATAGGACTGCTGGAGAACTCAGTGGACTCAATGGACTGACACATAACAACAGTGGCCAGCCTTTGTTAAGAGCCAGTCCTGTGTTTGACTTGAAGCCACATTCTGTCTCCATCCACTGGTTCATCAAACCTGCGGTACTGGTCCATGTCACCTCCATTATACAGCTGAGGATAGAGCCAATGTCCCCCAGGGAAGATGCATGGCCCTAGGGCCCCCCTTGCCACTCTTGGTCTTGGCATGGAGCCACCTTGCCCACTGGGATGAGGCCAGCTCAGTACCCTCTTCCCGCCTCCTCACCCCACTGACGCCTGGGCATGAAAGAACCTCCTGTTTCTCCAGGGAATTAGCAGCTCTAAGCTCCCAACAGAGCAGCCAAAAGTGGTCCATTCATTTGCCTGAGTGAGGAGAGACTAGGCACTCCCTCCCTCCTCACCCAGGGGATGGGGCAGAGGAAGCTCTGGAAGAGCCAGGAGCTGCCACTCCAGTTCACTGAGGGAAACTGAGGCACAGAAAAGCAAAGTCATTTTGCTAAGGTTATCCAGGGGCGACCAGGATTCAAACCTGTCTGGCTCTGGAGGTCTCTCCACTGAGCTGAGTTTTGCATTTGTCAAAAGAAGAACAGAGGCTCAGAGAGAGTCAGGTATTTGCTGAAGTCACACAGCAAGTATGGGTCAGCAAAGTCTCTCTCTGGGGATGCAGCCCCACCCATGGCAGAAAAACAGGTCCAACTTCCCATGTGTTTGTCATGGCGGAGCAGGGTAGGGCAAGGCCTTCAGAAAGCTTCAAGCCTTGATTTCCGCCTGGGGGATAAGTGTAATGATTGCTTCAGCCTGGAGAGTACGTAGGGGTGGACGTGATGGTTCCCAGGCCAGCAGCCCCCAGCGGGGCAGGTCCAGGTGTGATTTATCTGCCAGGGTCTGCCTGGGTCCAACAGGGCCCACCTCAGAATACACAGATGCACGCTAGCTTCCAGCTGGACTTGTCCATCCTGGCAGGGTGCGAGCCTGGGAGCCTGGGAGCCTGGGGAAGTGGGGGTGACAGTAGGAGTGGGAGGGAGTGGCCCCACATGAAGGGACTGGAGTGAGCTCACCGGGGAACCCCCGGGAGCCACAGCTGGGTGTGTTGAATGGTGAGCACAAGTGGCAGGGCTCTGAGATGGATCTCGGGAGGACTATACATCTCCATGTGGGTGCCAGGGGTGCCCAGTGATCTTAGTTGGGTGCTGGCTGTCTGGAGGTGTACCCATGCCTATAAACAGGGTTGGAGGTGAACAATGTGGGGCAGATGTACCTGTTGGTGGCTGCTGGGACAGCTAAGGTGCAGTGCGTGCATTTGAGTGTGAAGGGACTAGAGGTGGGGCTGTGAGTTTGGTTGTGCAACCAGCATGGCTTGGGTGTGACCAAATGAGGTTGTATGTGGTCTGTGTGACGTATATGTGGCCTTGCCTCATGTGGTTGTATATAAGCCACCTGGGATGTGATGTGGGTTAGGGGTTTGTTGGTGACATTGTGCGACACGTGTGAATGTGGCTGCTTGTGTCATGTCTGTGTGTCACCTTGGGCATGTTAAGAGGCACTTTGGAGGGCTACTGTCCACCCCTGAGACCCAGCTCTCCTGGAAGGTCCAACCTCCCTGCTCCTGTTCTGGCCCACCAGCCTCCTCCCCTGCTTCCTCCCCCAACTCGCTCCAGCCCCTGGCCTGGGCCCCAGTGTGGGGGGTACAGAGAAGGCACTCAGGGCTGGCAGGGGTGGCTCACCCAATCCCAGTGCAGGCCTATAAATAGCTCTTTGAGCCCAGCAGATTCCCAGGCAAGGTTGCCTCATTCAAGCCCCCAGCAACAGCCAGCCCCCCTACCTCCCCTGGGCCCCAGGCCAGCCCCTCTAAGCTCAGTCCTGGCACTGGCCAGGGGGACCTGGGGGTGGAGAGGAAGGCGTGTAGAGAGGTGGGGGCAGTCAAGGGTGAGGATCAGCTTGGCTCTGAGGCCATGAACCTAGGCTCCCACTTGGTCCGTACCCATACTGTACAACCTCAGGCAGGTGGTCCCATGCCTCTGAGTCTCAGTTTCACTCAGCTGGAAAGTGGGCAAAACATAAGAGCAGCCCCCATCTTATGTGTTTACTTCCCATTTCATTCTCTCAGCAACCCTGTAAGACAGGGACTCTTAATTATCCTCCTTTTAGATAGGGTAACCAAGGCACAGAAAGACAAAATGGCTGGCCCAGAGTCACTCTATTAGGAGTGGAAAAGAGGGGTTTTGAACCCTGAACTTGTGGAGGCAAAGCTGCTTGGATCCCTCGCATGTCACACAATCACACCCAGACCCCCGACCCCCCCACCCCAATGCTGCCATAATTACCCCTCACACCAACCTGTCAACTACAGACACTCATATCAACGTGACCCCTGACCTCCATCTCTCCTCTGTGATGAGGAACTGAACAGTAAGCATAGCTCCCCAGTGTGTCACTTTGGCCCCTGCGGCCATCACTCGCCCACTTCTGGACCAGCCGACTGGGTCCACATGCATAAGACATGGACCTGTACCAATGCCTAGGGGCAACATTGCTCCCCTGGGGTCCTTCCTCAACCTTCACTCATCTCCACCCCCTCTTTGCTCTTTGGTAGTTTAGCCGAAACCATCTTGTCACCTATTTGTCTGTTCCCCCATCAGCCTGAGACACCCCTCACACACACACACACACACACACACACACACACACTCAAACTCACACATGTGGGACATGGTGTGAAGTGCAGACTCTCTGCCCAGTGCATCCCATTCTAAGCACCGAGAGACTAAGACCCTGGGAAGGAAAGGTGGGGGAAGGGCTGACCTCTTTAAACTTTTGATCCCCCTCATTTCCGTCATTTCCATTTTTCCTTGTGGCAAAATACACCAGAACACAAAATTTACCATTTTCAAGTGTACAATTTAGTAGCATTAATTATATTTGCATGATTGTGCAACGATCACCACTATCTAGTTCTAGAACACTTTCATCGTCCCAAAAGGAAACCCAGTACACATTTGCAATCATTCTCCATTCCCCCTCCCCCAACCCTGGGAATCACTAATCTACTTTCTGTCTCTGGATGTGTCTGTTCTAAACATGTCATATAAATTGAACCATACTGTGGTCTTTTGCGTCTGGCTTCTTTCACTCAGCATGCTTTCAAGGATCATCTGTGATGTAGCATGTAGCAGGGCTTCCTTCCTTTTTATGGCTGAATAATATTCCTTTGTATGGATCTAGACTTCTTAAGGTTGAAGTCTCCCTGCAAAGACCCTGCCCAAAGCAAAAATATTCCTGGGACAACAGTACCTACTCCACAGCTGGTGCTCTATAAATGCCCACTGGATAAAGGAATGAATGAAAGAATGATACATTCAGGCTGCAGCTGGTGGAAACAGCTGTGGGGTGTGACAAGCCTGGGCTCCAACGCTGCGAGTCTCTTATCAGCTATGTGACCCAGGAATCTTCCTATCCTCTCTGAGCCTCAGCTTCCTCTCTATACGTGGGATAAAACAGCAATTGTAGCCAAAACTCCTTCAAGTGTGAGCCCTGGAAAGTCAGACAGGCCAGGGTTGGAATCCAAGCTCTGCCCTTCCTCTCTGCGCTACCTTGGAAGCTACTTCGTCTCCCTGAGGCTCAGTTTCCACATCTGTAAGATGGGACAGACCCCACCATGGGGCGTCTGGGAACATTTAATGTGACTCCTGGGGCAAATGG